GGGGGGGCAGCATTTTCTATCAATCATTGTAGTTGGTTCCCTATTTCTCTACCTTTCCCTTCCCCTCATGATATCACCACTCCCATAATTGTTCCCAACAGGCTTATCTGTCCTGGATTCCTTGTGTCAAAAGCTCTTATCTGTACCAGTGTACATGCTCTGGTCTAGCCAGATTTATAAGGTAGGAATGAGGTGGGAGAGGAAGCATTAAAGAACTAGAAGAATGTTGTGTGTTCCATTGGTGCTAAGCTGCACCCTGGTCTTCCTTGTGACCCTTCTGTAAGGAAATGTCCAATTGTGTACAGATGTGCTTTGTCCAACAGGGAGGAAGGGAAAAAAGAGGAGTTAATACCAAGGGTTCAAGCAGAAAATAAATGTTTTGAAAATGATGATGGCAACATATGTACAAACGTGTTTGATACAATTAAAGTATGGATTGTTATAAGAGCTGTAAGAGGCCCCAATAAAATGATTTATTAATAAAAAGAAAGAAATATTGATATGATATTAAAAAAACTGCTGTATGCAGGTGACACAACCTTGCTTGCTGAGCGTGAGGAGGACTTGAAACCCTTGCTGATGAAGGTCGAGGACAGCTGCCTTCTGTATGGATGACAACTCCATGTCAAGAAGACCAAAATCCTCACAGCTGGACCAATAGGTAACATCATGAAAAAAGATATTGAAGTTGCCAAGAATTTTTCTTGCTTAGATTCACAATCAATGCTCATAGAACCAGCAGTCAAGAGATCAAAAGACATATTGTATTAGGCAAATCTGCTGCAGAAGACCTTTTTAGAGTACTGAAAAGCAAGGATGTTACTTTGAGGCCTAACGTGAGCCTAACCCAAGCCATGATATTTTCAATTGCCACATATGCATGTGAAAGTTGAGCATTGGATAAAGAATACTATAGAAGAATGGATGCATTTGAATTGTGGTGCTAGAGAAGACAATTGGAAAGCCCACGAACTGCTAAAAGGACACATTGATCGGTCTTGTGGCCAGAGGACTCCTTAGAGGCAAGGAGGACAAGACTTTATGTTCTATCTTTGGACATGTTCTCACGAGAGATCAGTCCCTGGAGAAGGACATCATGATAGGTGAAGTGGAGGGGGCGAAAGGAGGAATACCCTCCAGGAAGTGGATTGACACAGTGGGCTGTGCTCAGCGTGGGACACTTGTGAGGACGGCGCAGGACCAGGCGGTGCATCGCTCTGTTGTGCACGGGGTTGCTCTGGGTTGGGACTGATTCTATGTCCTTTAACAACCGATAGGATCTTTAACGCCAAAGGTACTGAACACACAATTAAATACCTATATTAAGTTAACCAAACTTTTTGTTCCCTATAAAGCATTCCCCCCATACTCTAAGAAAATATGCTAAAATAATGCATAAAATTTTAAGCACATGAGCAAAGTTAGAAATGTTTGATAATTTACTATTTTCCCTACACATAAACAAGTTTTCTTTTGGGCATTGTTTTATATATATAAATATTATTTATATATATATAAAACGTTGTTCATATATATGTGTGTGTATGTAAATATATATGTAAATATAAATATTTATAAAACTTTTATTGTGACTTGGATGTAAGTTTGTAGAGCAAATAGATTTTCCATTCAACTATTAATACAGTTGTTTCATGCCACTGATTTTAATCCCTACAATGTAACAGCGTCCATCCCACTTCCTAGGTTTCTCTCTCTCTCTTTTTAAAACAGTTTATCAGTACTTAATCTACATATCATACAATTCAATAGTTCAGCCATATCAAGAAGAGATATACACAATCAATTCTATAACATTTTCTTTTTCTCTGTACTCATTGTTATTCATGCATTTTTTTCAATTTTGGCAAAAATATACACAACAAAACATTTACCAATTAAATACACTTCATGCTGTATAGGCATTATTGACATTCCTCTCCAAATTGTTCCATCACCATTAAAATGAATTCAATGTTCCCTAAGCAAAAAGTCTTTCTCTTTCACCCATGGTGAATACTCAAGTTTGGTTTTTTTCTTTCTTTCATTCTTTTTTTTTTAGTAGTTTGCTTTATATAATATTCACATATCATACATTTCCATTGTTAAACCACTTCTTAAAAGAGTTGTAAAAACATCATCACAATCAACTCTAAGGCTCCTTCTTGCATCCACAGATCTCTCCCCAATTCTCCTCCCCACCCTTTTCCTGATAAACTATTGAATCAGTTCTTTTGGCCATTTTTTGTATAAAATATTGTATCTGACTACACAAAAATATCATACTGTTTTTGTAACACTTTTATGTTTCATTAAGTTTCTTTTGAAAAACAGATATGAAAATTTCTATGCTAATCATTGAGCTAAATAATTTATAAATTTAAACTCTATATGAAAAAATCAAAATGACTTATGACTCATGCCTTTCTTTTATTATTTTTCTGCTCTAAAATTTACTTAGGAGTCCCTATGCCATAATTTTTATGTGTTGGGCTGCCAACCACAAAGTCAGCATTTTGAAACCACCAGCCACTCTGTGGGAGAAAGACGAGACTTTCTACTCCCATAAACAGTTAAAGTCCCAGAAACCGACATAGGCAGTTCTACCTTGTATTATATGGTCATTATGAGTCCAGGTGGCAGTGAGCTTCTACCCTGTACTATACAGGCATTATGAGTCGAAATTGACCGGATGGTAGTGAGCTTTCAGTTTAAGCTGTATTTTAAAAGTTTTTCTCCAGATCTATCTATGTTACAGAGGAATTGATGTACTCCATACAGTATTTTCTTTTACTAATAAGAAAACTGAAAAGAGTAATCTCATTTTCAAATTCACATTATTTCTATCATTTTGTTGACTCTATAATTTGGAACCCACAAAGTCTAAAGCCAGCACAGTCATTTGATCAAAGCCATCTGGAACCGCTCACTGCGGATCAGTGCATCAGCACAAGTGAGCGCATGCCTACCTTGCTCCCTGGTTGCTGTAGAAATCACTACTGGTTACCAGGGCCTTTGTTCTAACTTCTCTGAATCCATTTTTTGGGAATCATCTTTTACACTTAGGATCAATCATATGGAGACTAACATCACTACTTTAAAAAAATATTCTAATGAAATACCCTTTAGTAAATGGGCAAGATAAAAGGTGTTTTTTCAATGACAGCTTTCCCTCGGTGGCCTGGGAAGTGCACCACACGATCTTTCCTGTAGTGGCACAAAGAGAATGGGCCGAATCCATGGCGGTCAGGGTGACCTCTAGCCATCCCCTCCCTCTGATTACTGAACTGTTGTCCCTAGGAAAGGGAAGAGTTTGCATTTGACTACTAACTTCAAGGTTGGCCATGTAATCCCACGGACAGAGGTACCACAGAAGATAGGCCTGGCAATCTGGTTCCCTTAAGATTACAGCCAGAAAACCCTGTGGAGTTCATTTGATAAAGAATATCTACTTTGAGCATTTTGGTTTTTTACAGAATTATCTATGAAAAGAAACAACAACAGTAACACTAAGTTAACAGTAAGAGTCTAAGTCAAGGGTGGTGAAACAATATGGGCAGAGATAGGGGAAATGGGAGGCGATGTGAAGTATATAATGTCAATGAATCATATATATGTCAAAATTGTTAAACGGATGTATGTTTGGCTGTGTTTGTTTTCACTAAAAGCAAACAAATAAAACCCTTATCTCTAGTGGTTGCATTCTGTCCTTCTTGGGGGATAGGGGTGGGGAATGGGGGGTGGCCTTATTCAGACCATGTAGTAATTGCCAGTTCGTAAGAGGCTATGGAAAGCAACTGTAAATTCAGAGCAAGTCTTACATATGAACCTGGTTTATTTGGGTACAATGACCTAATCTGTGTCTCCAAGAGTCAGGAGCTTCCAAGAAATGTGTGACCCAGCTCCATGCCCTGGGCTATTAGCCTGGGTTAACCCTGCTGTCCTGGGATCTAGACTCTTAATTAAAACCAAGGGCAGTTATCAATTGATACCTACCCAAGAAGGCATATTATGGCAAATAGCTAAATATTTATGAGATAAAAACAGAAAAGAGGGGCAAAAAGGAGTATACTTTACCTCCATGAAGGCTGTTTTCTGCATGGGATTAAGCCAGCAGATTCGCAGTGAACGTCCTCGATAGTCGATTGTCGTCACATCAAAAGCTATGGCTTCAGGGACAGCCAGAACCACAGAGACCACCCAGATTAAAACAATTTCGACTGCTGTCCATTTTGGCACCCCAATTCCTTTAATTCGACTCCAAGAAACAACAGCTCGATACCTGAAGATCAAAACACAATGGGTCCCGAATCGCTTTGATTGGATTCTGAAGTTCATTTTTAAAGTAATGTAGCAAGGAGGAATATAGTATTCAGGATATATCTGACTTTAAAATGAAGCTCTTACCTGTCGATACTCAGAGCACATAGACTTAGCACAGTGATTCCCACGGAGGCCTTCTGTATGAAAGGTACCAGCTTGCACATCTCAACTCCAAAGGGCCAGTCTGCCATGAGGAGCTACATGGAGGAGGAGACATGAAACTTTGAGATGGAGGTTGGCACAAGGCACCTTCTGAGCTGCATTGCTTAGTACAGAGTATTAAGCATGCAGCATAAGCTAAGAAATCTACATTCTTCTCTTTCTCATGGAACACCCCTCGGAAAAGAAAGGTTTTGATCCATGTAGCAGGAGGGTACATTGGGAATGGGAAGGGCAGCCAATTCACTGGAATGCATCATATATTATGCGTATACAATTTCCTTACACAATTGGGTGAGCAGTCCTCATAATGTGTCATGGAGTCTCAAATGCCAAGTCACAATACACATTAATTTGAAAATACTCATAGATGATAAGTGTTCTTAGGTTGAAGAGAATAGACTAATCTTATGGAGAAGAGTACATGCATTCAGACACTTTTTTGTTTACTTGCTCTTTTACCGTACGGAAACATTTAATTAACTAAACTTTAATTCCACCACATGCTGCTCTATGATCACAGTAGCCATACTGTAGAGTAGCTCTCTAGATGTAGATCTTCCCTTTTTCTCGAAGGTGATTTAACGCCAGATGTGTACTTGGCTAACTTTGCCCCTTTAAAGTCAATCTGACTCAACTCTGACCTTCTCAAGATGACCACATTATTAAACTTATAATGAATCAGGCCTCCCAACCTCCCTTCCCTTGCTTGAAAACAAACAAAAAGCAAACCCTTTGCCCTTGTGTTGACTCGGACTCATGCCAACCCCACGTGTTTCAGGACAGAAATATGCTCCACAGAGTTTTCAGTGACTGCAATCTTACAGAAATAGATGGCCAGGCCTTTCTTCCATGTGTTACTGAAGTGGATTTGAACCATAAACCTTTGGTTAGTAGCTGAGCACAAATGGTTTACACCATCCAGGGACCTGTTCTACTTTATTTAATCACAGCACATATTACTTTCTGTTGCATATATTATAACACTTAGCTATGTATCCTTTTAATTTTTATTTTTTCCATCTGTCTCCCATATAGAATAAATTAGAATAAGGTAGAGAATAAAGCACCTACCACAGTATCTGAAATGTGGCAGATGCTTAATAAAATATTCAAGCCCCTAAAATTCACATAGACTTGGGGATACTGTGAGTAGAATATAATGGTACTTGCTATTCTGTGTATATTTCTCTTTATTTGATTATAAAATAGCACAAAAGACCCAATTCTTACTATTGTATGTCTATTTCTGTTTATCTGACTTCAGAATACACAATCATCTATTGTTAAACACAGTTATTTTCTTCCTTAGGAAAATTGGGTGTATCCCACACTAGAAATGAATCACTGTAGGTAAACATCTGGAGAGAATATTCAGGAAGTTTTGAAAATAAAGGAAATTATTTCAAATTTATGTTTTTCTTTAAAAAAAAACTTGAAAAATTAGACTTCCAAAAGTGAAAACGATTTTAAAACAAAATTAAATCGTTCTGTCCTTTTATGAGCAAAGGTTCTTGGCTCATAAGAGTTGGTCAGGCTGGGTGATGATTCCAGAACTAAAAAGCACCACAGAATGAAATGTGTGTGTTGCATTATGAATATTACTTAGGGATCCAATACAGGGCAATTTAGGTTTTCAGTTATAAATAAAAAATTACAGACACACAGAACAGAAGTTGGCAGGCTCACCACAAATATGCTTACTACGTAACAGAGAGTAGTGGGGTCTGCGGCAAGCCCGTCTGTTAGGAGCAGCTGCCACTCAAGACCACACCATTTTTTGCTATTGGGATTTTCAAGATACAAACATCTCTTGATTTTCTTAAAAACAATCAACCCACAACCAATGAATCAATTCCAACTCATAGAAACAGGACAGAGCAGAACTGCACGATATGGTTTCCAACGCTGTAAATGTTTGTGGAACTATTATGTGACCTGTTTCTCCTGCATAGTCACTGGGGGATTTGGACTTCCGTCTTTTGCATTAGCAACCAAAGGCTTAATTCTTGAATCACTTTGCTTCCTGATTTATCAAAAGAAGTCAGAAATCAGTATGTTTCAGAGAAATTTCACAATTTATAAATGTTATCAACTAATTCACACAAAAAATGAAATGCAGTGAGAGAATATTTTGTTAACAAAATGTAGTGTAGGCCAGAATGACTTCCACTTTGCAATTTCTGGATTAATTGGCTCAAACTTTGTCCATCCATTCTTGCATTCAACAAACATTTGTTGAGTATCCACTATGTGCCAGACCCTTTTCTGAGTGCAGGGTCTCCATCACTGAGGAAGACTGACAGGAATGCCTAGATCGTTCACATGGTGTTACATAGAGTGGCATCATGTAAAGTAAGTGATATTGGGGCTTAGAGTCCTTTCCTGATAGAACACTTAGACAATGTGTCACTGAAGAGGGACAATTGAGTAGGAAGCTGACTGAAGTAAGAGAATGAGCCATGCAAAGAGCATTCTGGACAGAGAGAAGAGTAAGAGCAAAAGGCGTTGGGTCAGAATAAGCCTGACGAAGTAGAACAGAACAAGAAAGCCAGCAAATTCATTAAAGTACAGTGACAGAGGTTGCAGACTGATCAAAAGTGAAGTCATCAAAAGAGAAGTTTGCATGTTATTGGAAAGAGTCCATTGCAAGGTTTTGAGCCAGGAAGTGAGATCATATTATTTATATTTTAATAAAATATCTGTGTGAATGCTTGTGTTGAATACATTGTAGGGATCATGAATGAACAAGCTGTGCTTCAAAAGAAACACCAATTCCTCTAGAAATAGAACTATTTGCGTAAAACCTATAAGGCAGAAACCTGTTAGAGAGGGGAAATGCAAATATTTGCCACAAAAATGAGCAACAGGCAAATGACAACACTACAGCCTGTCAAAGGTAGAAAGCTTGCATAATTTGGGAAAGGCAGTCCTGCTGATTTCCAGCTCTCGCGTTTGTCACTCTATTAGGACTTGGCCAGACACAGCTTGGTATCAATTACCTAGATAATGTTCTGTCTAATCGTTGTATTATTGCTAATTATGCTCACAAATAAATAAATTAAATTATAAAAATAATCAAAATGATTCTAAGTGCTTTAGACATATTTTATGATTGAATTCTCAAAGCAACCTATGGTACAGTGCTATTATTATCCCCAATGCATAGATAACAACCGAGACACTTAGAAGGTTATTGGCTTGCTGTGGTTGTTTTAAATTATGTCCATACTTTCCCATCATAAGGTGATGTCTAATTGCCCTCTCCTTGAGTGTGAGCTGGCCTGGTGACTTACTCTTGAGAAACCGAATGTGGTAGGCTAGGTTATCTCAAGAACCGAATCCATTGACTCTCATCTATGTATAAGCAAGAGCATTATATCCAGAAGTAACTATATACCAGAAGGCATCACAGTCCAGTCCCACTCAAGCTCATAAGTCCCATGCTAGTCCATAAATCCTTCTTCAGACTCACTTGGCCACATGCCAGTGATGCCGAATGGTCACTGGAAGCAGGAAGATCACAGATCACTGGTGGGTGCAGTCTTGTGGCATCATGGCAGGGCAGCAGTACCTCTCAGGGTCGGGTGGCTCCCATGGAGCCACTTCTTTTTTTTTTTTTTAATTATTTTATTAGGGCCTCGTACAATTCTTTCCACAATCTAGACATACATCCATGTGTCAAGCACATATGTACATCTGTTGCCCTCATCATTCTCAAGACATTTGCCTTCCACTTTAGCCCTTAATATCAGTTGCTCATTTCCCCCTCCCTCCCCACTTCCCCCTCCCTCATGAACCCTTCATAATTCATAACTGATTATAGTTTTGTCATAAGTTACACTGTCCGACGTCTACCCCTGCCCTCTTCTCTGCTGTCCCTCCCCCAGGGAGGAGGCTATACTTAGATTCTTGTAATCGGTTCCCCCTTTCTATCCCACATTCCCTCCACCCTCTAGGCCTTGCCCCTCTCATCACTGGTCCTGAAGGGGTCATCTGTCCTGGATTCCCTGTGTTTCCAGTTGCTATCTGTACCAGTGTACATCCTCTGGTCCATCCAGATTTGTAGGGTAGAATTGGGATCATGATAGTGGGGGGAGGAAGCATTTAAGAACTAGAGGAAAGTTATCTGTTTCATCATTGCTGCCCTGCACCCTGATTGGCTCATCTCCTCCCCACAACCCTTCAGCAAGGGGGTGTCCAGTTGCCTGCCGATAGGCTTTGAGTCTCCACTCTGCACTCACCCACCTTTTCAGTGATTATTTTTGTTCTTTGATGCTTGATATCTGATCCCTTCGACAGCTCGTGGTCACACATGCTGTTGTGCTTCTTCCATGTGTGCTTTGTTGCTGTTGCTTCTGAGCTAGTTGGCCGCTTGTTTATCTTCAAGCCTTTAAGACCCAAGACACTATATCTTTTGATGGCCGGGCACCATCAGCTTTCTTCACCACCTTTGCTTATGCACACGTTTGTCTTCAGTGATTGGATCAGGAAGGTGGGCACCCACTGATCTGATTTTTAGTTCTTTGATGTCTGATAACTGGTCCCTTCTGCACCTCGTGGTCAGACAGGCTGGTGTGCTTCTCCCATGTGGGCTTTGGTGCTTCTGATCTAGATGGCTGCTTGTTTATCTTATGGAGCCACTTCTTCAGGCAGACACTGAGTCCCAGAGAGGAGGAAGGCAAAGTAGAAGAGAGGGGTGGGGGTGGGGGAGTTCCTGGACTTCCTCATTCTCATACAAAAGGCTAAAGACATCAAACAGGTGTCATCAGGCTGTGATTTGATTGACAGGTTTGACTCCATCCCTGCCCTGAGTAGTTCACATGATGCCCAACTACCACACAGAATGAGGGGTGGCCACTGTGTCAAGTTCGTACAAAGCATTATGGCTTCTTTGCTTTCTTTTAGAGCACTCCTTCTGGGGAAAGTCAGCTATCAGGTCATGAGGAGGCTGAAAATCTCTTTGTGAAGGGGCCCCATGGGAAGGACCTGGGGCCTCCTGACTGCTACTAGCATGAATTTTCCAATTGCTCAAGGA